ACACACACACACACACACACACACACACATTTACAATGATACATTTCATACATGTTCAAAATGTGAAGAGATTCCATAAAGTCAGACTTGAGAATGTTCAAGAGGCCAAAAACTTTTGATCACATGACCTTGACCTTTTTTTTTTTTTTACCTTGGCTCTGGACAGCTGCTCCACGTTAGAAGCCAGGTCATCGGCCTCCAGTCTGAACTCCGTCTTCTCCTTCTCCAGTTTCTGTTTGGTTCTCTGCAGATTGTCGATCTGCTCGCCGAGTTCAGCCACAGTGTCCGAGTGCTTCTTCCTCAGGGTGGCGGCCGTCGCCTCGTGGTGAAGCCCCGCCTCCTCCAGCTCCCGCCGCATCTTCAGGAAATCCGCCTCTCGCTTCCTGTTGGACACAGAGCTAATTAGCGCTGACACGCGGTCGCAGATGAGTTTAGATGATTCGATGCAACAGTGGAAAAGATTTGTGTGATTCTGAATTCCTCAGGATTCTTATACGTCCAGCTCAAAGCACAGTTTCACTTGAGGGAGCTCAACAAATCACTGTGCTTTTAAGTTTTTATGGCAAACATTTCCACCAACTCCGAGAAAAGAAACGAGCTGTAGCCGCCAAATGTTGTGAAGTGTTTGTCCTTGTGAGACAAAGGTGTTGATCAGTGAAGCATTAATGTGAATGTTGACCTGTTGAGAGCGATCTGAGCAGCAGAGGCTCCTCCTGCCTCCTCCAGTTTCTCTCCCAGCTCCTCCAGCTCTCTGGCGATGTCGTTCCTCTGGCGCTCGGCTTTGGAACGCCACGCCCGCTCCGCCTCCAGCGCCTCCTCCAGCTCCTCAATGCGAGTCTAAGGGAATGATCACAGCACACTCCTGTAGAAGGGACGACGCTAAGTAAAATCCTATTCTGGATCTGCCTGAACCAACCTGAAGCTCTTTGACTTTCTTCTGAAGCTGAGCCACCAGACTCTGCTCATCCTCCATTTTAGACTGAAGCTGGAGCAACTCGAAGTCTTTCCTTTAGGGAGGAGTGAAGAGAAACAGACACAGAGAAGAAAAGAGCGAGAGACACTCAGTTAATCAGTTGAATTCTTGTGGAGAAATTAAACTAAGACAGAAGTTCGACGTTCTCTGAATGGTTGACTGAAGTTACTTTTTCAGTCTCTCCTCCAAGTCTTCCTTCTGGTTCTCCAGGTCCCTCACAGAATCCATGGAGAGCTTCAGATCCCCCTCCAGCTTCCTTTTGGTTCGTTCCAGATCCATCCGCACCTTCTTCTCCTGCTCCAAGGAACCTTCCACCTGCATGGAAGAGAGGGGAGCAGCTGTAAGAAACCAGAGAACAAACTCATGGAACCTCTGACCAACATTTTAGATCCTACACGCTGAACCATCTGCTGTTCCAGTGGCCCTCTGGGAGATTCTAATGGCTTCTCAAGAGGATTTTAAAACATCATGAAAGAGATTAGGGAATATCGACACTGCAGACACTTCTGGTTTCCAATCTGTAACTTGGGAACAAAGTAAAAACAGTCAAATCTTTCTTACATTGTCCACTTGTTGCTCGAGTCGAGTCTTTGCTTTGACCAACATGTTACACTTGTCCTCCTGAGCCTGAAGGTCGTGCAGAGCCTGTTGATGAGCTTCCTGCAGGGCGGCTTTCTCTCTGCTCAGAGACGCTATCGATTCGTCCAGAACACACATCTCATGGGACAAGTTCTTCACCTGGAGGAGAAGAGGAACGATTAGTTCAAGTGATCGACTCCAGACATCATCAGATGGAGGGTCTTCAACCTGACGCACCTTGTTCTCCAGTCCATGTCTCTCCTTCTCCACTTTAGCCAGGGTGATCTCCAGATCGTCCACGTCTTTCTTCAGTGACGTCGCCTCGTCCTCCAGCTTGCGTTTCTTGGACGTCAGTGTGGCGGTCAACTCCTCCTCGTCCTCCAGACGCTCCTGCATCTCCTTCAGCTTCGACTCCAAAGAGATTTTGGACTGAATCAGCTGATTGCAGCGGTCCTCTGCATCCAACAGGTTGTCTTGCTCCTGGGAGGACAGACATATAAAAAGAAGAGATCAGCTAATAAAAGGAGTTGTTAAATTATGACATGACATTAATCAATAAAAAAAGATTTTGAGATGTTTGATTTATTAAAATACTTTTTAAGGACTGCGCAGCGACAGCTGCTTCAAGAGACGCAGGACACGAGACAGATTGTGTTGTTGAAAACAGGAGTTTATCTCTGCAGGCAGGTTATGGTTTATCATTTTATCATTTTAAACTAAAACATCCTCAAATGTGTAAATTCATTTTCAACATTTATATTTGAAATACGGTTTTTCCTGTGTAAACACAAGGTGAGATGATAAAGAGGATTTGTGATGTTTCAGTGTGTTTCAGAGCGACTCACAGCTTGGAGCTGCAGAGACAGGTCGTTTTTCTCCTGAACCAAATCCACCTGCTTCTCCTCGGCCTCCTGACGCTTCCCCTCCGACCTGAAGAAGAAAGACAACAAACCAAAGTTACAGACAGAAAAGACTAGAGAGCGAAGAGCAGAAAGAGACTAAAACCCAAACATCTTCGATCATGTGCTATTGTGGCAGAGTAATTTTACTCTGCCCACAGACGGCCGGTCAACAGACCTGTTGAAGGCCTCTTTGAGTTTGGTGAAGTCTTCGTTCAGAGCAGCGAGTTCTTTCTCCACCTGGGCGCTCCTGAGCAGGGGGCGGATCTTATAGAACAGCATCATCCACGGCCAAGTCCGCACTGTGTAGAAAGCTCTGAGGTTGAACTGGATCACGATCACAGCCTCTCTGATCAGAAGAAATAAAGACGGCAACTGTGTTTTTACTGAATCACAGAGACGAGGGACATTTTTCTCCAAAGCATACAGTGATTTTTCTTTCCCAGCACGATTAAGTAGATAAACTGGGTGATATATCATATTGACCTTTGCAGTATCAGCTTCTCTCGTTGCTTCCTCATCAACTTCCCTCTGCACATGGCCTGGACGATGGTGAGGATCTCAGACAGACGAGTGTCCCTCATGTCCTCCAGCAGACCCAACAGACCGGCCTTAAAGAATACCTGAGGAGCAGAGTGGAATAAAACAGATCACATTAAGGTGAGTTGTGGTAACAGCGGAATCAATGACACAGAATATCTGTGTTGTACCTTAGTGTGTCCGAACTTGTACTGGGTGTGGTCGATGTTCAGGGAGCCCAGCAGCTTCTCCACGGCCTTCCTGCTGTCCACGAAGGAATCCTCCGGAATCGCAGAGGGATTCAAAATGCGGTAACTGGGAAAACAGACAAAAGTGCACATGGATTCACCGAAGGTTTGAAAATCATCTGTAAACTCTGGAGGTATCAGCGCACAGACCGGACTGAAACAGAAGCTTGTATTTCTGTGTTAGATTTCGGACTCACCGCTGTCTGAACTCAGCGTAAAGGATGCGGTTCGGAAAGCCCTTCCTGCAAATCCTGATCCCTTCGAGGACTCCGTTACACCTCAGCTGGTGGAGGACCCGGAAAGGATCCATCACACCTGGAAATCACATGGAAACACATGAAACATCTCCAACAACAGCATCAAGAACAGTTCTACTGCAGCTGTATGCCTCCACCAGCCAGTGCAGTTTCAGTCGACATATATTTTTCCTCATATTGACCAGGGTCATCTCATATGAGGCCACTGTGACCTCGACCTTTAACCTTCGACCACCATAATGTAATCAGTTCATCAGTGAGTCAAAGTCCCTTCAGAGCGATCTGAGATATCATGTTTACAAGAATGAGACGGACGGAGGGACAAGGTGAAAACATGACGCCTCACCACTGGGGGGAGTTTGGTTACCTGGAGTCTTGGTCTCGTTGGGGATGATGCAGCGGACGAAGTGAGGCTGAGTGCTGCGGAGGTTCGCCATCAGCTTCTTAAGATTCTCCTGGATTTAAACACACAACGACAAAGAGTTGGAGACGTCTATGAGGTGAGCCGAGTGTCGACAGTCTCCACCAATCACAGCCAGTCGAGGAGGTTGAAGAACCAAACGTACTGTATTCTGTTGTGAGTACGTTCTGTCTAAAGTGATGGAGACGGTTTATTCCCACTTTAAACTTTAACAAACATTCCTGAGGCGAGTGTGAAAACCGCTCACCTTGTGTAACTGTGAAACTGTTTGGAAGGAAGCTGCTTTCTTCTTCCTGTGTCTAGTTTCAGCCTTCGGATCACTGGCTGAAACAACATCACAAACAGTTCCTGTTTACTGTTCATCCACATCTCACTCACACGTCTTCCTCAGATTTATTTCCTTTAATTGGTTTTTTTCCAATTTGCAAACCTCTGGGCTTTTGTGAAATTTGAGGTATTTGAATCTTTGGACAATCTTTGTCTCTTTACCCATCTCAGTGGTGATGTAGTTCTCAAAAAGTCCAGCCATCAGTTTGTTGGAGGATTTCTGGAACAGGACCACCACCGTCTCATTCAGAGGATCTCTGTTTTTATCCAGCCAGCCTGTGATGTTGTACGGCACCTGAAATAAAAAATATATTCTCCATCGTAATGTCAACTATGGATTTAACTCTTCACAGAAAAGTTTCTCTTTTTATCTATTCCGTCTCGTGATGTTGTGTTGAATTCCATAATCTGACCTAGTGGAAGTCTAAAGATCCTGAAAGAAGAGGCCCGAGCATAAAGCCTTGTGGGACGCCATGTCCTTCTGGTTCTTCTGTGTATGGAGCTCTTCAGAATAACAAACCCATTGTTATTGTGGGAAAAATCTAACTTCTAGTTCTGGAATCGATCTCTTCTATATCTGGAAGTGTTGGTACAGAAAGAACCAATGACAGAACAGTGATTGTGAAGTAACTTCTGTTTCTGTCCATATTCAACACGGTGATATTTCTATTATGGCCGACTCCGTGTTTACTTTAATTTCACCAATGATTGTCACAAACTGTGTGATGGAGAAACGTTCAGCTGTAATGGATCAGTTTTCAAAAACACTCTTATTTTCTGGATATGGGCTGATACGCACCACGCCAGCATAGTGAACCAACTCGAAGTGCGACTCATATTTGCGCTTCTTGTCCATCCTCGGCCTCAGGAAGTTGGGCGACTTCCCCAGATGGTTGTCATAGAGTTTGGTTTTAAAGCTCTGGTCCGTGGCCTTGGGGAACATACACTCCTCCTCCATGATGGACAGAATACCCATGGGCTACACACAGAATCATGGATTATTTTGTTATAGGTGTTACATCAGGTGTTTGAGTTAATCAACGATATGACCGCCCACACACAAACACACTTTCTCTATGAGGTCTATGCAGGCCTGTAAGTCCAGACCGAAGTCGATGAAGGTCCACTCTATCCCCTCAATCTTGTATTCCTCCTGCTCCTGGATGAACATGTGGTGGTTGAAGTACTGCTGCAGCCTCTCGTTGGTGAAGTTGATGCACAGCTGCTCAAAGTTGTTGAACTGCAGGAAGAGGTGAAGCGTCACAGACAAGTTTTCCCTGCAGGGCCGAAGCTCAGATTGTAGAAATGTGAAGGGTCGTCGCTCCGAACAACGGCAACTTAAAAAAAAAGCCTGGAATGTTTTTATCATGTTTTTTGTTTCAGCTGTTTTTACTTCTTGACAGATTTGTCAAAATATATTTAATGTCACTGGCTCAAACATTTAAAATGTGAGTAAGTTAAGTCTCCAATGAAAGCCCGTTAATGACGAAAGTCCATATTCAGATTATTTTAACCTCTGTAACCTGATTTTCTTTTAAAGGAAAAGGTCAACGTTTCTTTTGGGATTAGCCCATGCTAGCATTAATTCTCTGCTAACACTAACTGCTAACCAAGGATATCATTCATTCCTGGTCAGGTCACAGAAGCTAACTGCTAATCCAGGCTAACAGGCTCGGGACATGTTTAGTCGAGCTCAAGACGAAGATGAGAAACACGAGGCGACACTTGGAAACCAGCTGATTCAGGATTTATAAGATGCAGCTCCACGACTATTTCTACACCTGCAAATGTATTGATGTTTTGTGTTTGAGGGAACTTGTGGATCTTGACGGGATGTCTCCGTCCTTCTCTCTTCTTTACCTCAAAGATCTCGAAGCCGGCGATGTCGAGGACTCCGATGAAGTACTGACGAGGCAGCGCGGTGTATAAGGACGAGTTGATACGACTCACCAACCACTTAAACATACGGTCGTAGGTGGCTTTAGCCAGGGCTGCAACTGCAAAGTTAACCTACACAGAGACAAATACAATCACCAGGTGGACTCAGGTTTTTATGGTGAGAAGAGTCTGAAGAAGATCTGGTTACCTGTTCCACAGTTTGTCCTTTCACAATGAACTCGTTTCCGACCTTGACGCGGGGGTTCAGGAGGCCTTTCAGCAGGTCAGCAGAGCTGATGCCCATCAGATAGGCTGCCTTATCCTCACCTGGACACACGAGTATCATGTACATGTACACAGTATGTTCATTTCACACAACAGTTAACAGTAATGGATGTACTGTGAAGTACAGTATGGATTCTAAGGTACAGGGACTTCACTTCACGCTGAGGACAGATAAAACCAAACATTCTGTCTTTACTGATGAGATAAGATGAATGTTGGACGGATGTGTTTCCATGTTTGTGTGTTTTGTGTCTTCCTGCAGTGTTGTGCGTCCACAGCTCTCGTGGGGCCGCTCTTACTCTCGGTGCCGTCGGCCTCGGCCTGCTCCTCTCGCTGTTTCTTCTTGAACTTCATGTTACCGAAGTGCATGATGGCGCCAACGATCTTGTAGCAGCCGTACTTCTCTTCGGGAGTGAAGCCCAGCGTGTCCATGGCGTGCTGCACACAGGCAGAGGTCAGAGTTAATGTGACATCGGGGGGGTCAGTGCGTCTCTTCGAGCTCGCAGGTTACTTTCTTACGTCAGTGAGCTTCAGCTCCTCCCCGTCGTTGATGCTCTCCACCTTGGTCTCACCCTGGCAGCAGAAGTGGTAGTCGTAGGGGTTGGTGCTCACCAGCAACATGTCTGCAACACCCGACAACCACAAATCTTACAGCTTATCAACGATAAAGCATCTGGATCGCCCCCTGGTGGCTGGTTTCAGTACAGATCATAAACCCCACCTCCTTTTTTCATCGTCTGTGGGCGGGGTTACCTTGTAGCTCTGGTTTGTGATTGGACATGATCTGGTAGTAGATGTGGTAGCTCCTCTCTCCGGGCTGCTGGAACACAACTCTAGATTTTTCCAGAAGATCTGATGAAAAGGAACAAACAAAGTTTTATTTTTGTGTCTGACCGTTCAGGGACGATGGAAGTCGGTCAGAGTCGGGGATGCTGAGGGAAAGTCTGTACAACAGCTTCTTGTCAACAAAACGTCTGTGTGTATGTTTTATTTCCTGTTTAGGAAAAATATTCACTTATTTAAATAAATATTCAGACTTAATATGTAAAAACAGACAAACAGATAAAAACACACAAACATCCAGAAACTCTAAACAAAGTTTAAATATCCAGAAACTGCTGCAGAAAATCTGAAGTTGATTAAAAACTCACAAATGTCGATGTCGGCTGACGCCAGCTTCCCTGTGGTCCCGAAGTGAATCCTGATGAACTTTCCCTACACAAACACAAACTCATCATCACACAATAATAAATATTCAACCTTTAACAGTGATGAAGCCTCAGTCGTCAATGAACTCACAAAACGAGAGGAGTTGTCGTTGCGGATGGTTTTTGCGTTGCCGAACGCCTCCATAGCCGGATTAGCTTCAATGATCTGGTCCTCCAAAGATCCCTGAACACACAGAGACGCACAAAGACAGTTTCATTACGTGACTCAGCATTTTATATAAAATACAATATAATAATAAAGTATTTAAAACAGTGAAGAGAAATGTCGAGATGACTCACTCCTTTCTTCACATTTTCTCCAAGAGCAGCGACGATGGCGAAATACTGAATCACTCTCTTAGTGTTGACGGTTTTCCCTGCACCAGACTCACCTCTGATAACCACACACAACAACACACAACAACACACAACAACACACAACAACACACAGCACAAGACTCTTTTATTACTGTTATCATTAAGAGATTATTCCCGTCTGTATTTAAACCATTTGTTTTCCTCTTGTGCTGCATGTTCTCTTTAAATAAAGTTATTTTTATTATTTCTGATCACACTCGTTATCATTGTAGTGTTGTTGATCGTGTTGTCGATGAATTAGAATTTAAAGTTAAAGCAGCTGTGGTTGAGACTCACGTGATGAGCATCGACTGGTTCTCTCGATCTGTGGAGGAACAGGAGAACTCAGAGTAGAGCAGTGACTTATGGGTAACATGTCGTCTAAATGACCATATAATAAGATAATATGGGGATAATTAAATCCTTCAGGTGATGTCGGGATGCATCACCGAGGTTAGAGGTCAAAGGTCGAATGAGACTCACTCTGCAGCAGGTCGATGTAGGCGTTGTCGGCGATGGCGTAGATGTGGGGCGGAGTCTCTGTGCGCCGCCTCCCTTTATAGGCCGCTACCACCTCACGAGAGTAAACCGGCAGCCACTTGTAAGGATTGACTGTGACACAGAACAGCCCCGAGTAGGTCTGCACACACAGACACACACACACACACACACAGTGAGAATAAGGACAGTGTCTCAGGTTGGGGGACAGACAGATACAGACACTCTGGACAGATGCGTACGTAGATCATCCACATGCTGTATCGTCTCCTCAGGTTGAAAAGGACGGACGCCTCGTTCAGGTGAGTCAACATGGCCATGTCCTCCAACATGTCGAACCTCGAGGGGTTCATGGGCTGGAGGTCGTCTCCTTTCACAATCAGAAACTGAGACACAGGAAACAACATGTTGATCCTCGACGTGAAGATCACATGACCAACACTGTCACAGGTAAACGATTCGATACCTCGTGTGTGTTTTAAATATTCTGATTCTTAAAGTATTACTATTTGATATCACATCTTATTGCAATATGACAATTTATTGGAATTTTATTTTCACAACTAACTAACTAACTAACTAACTGACTAACTAACTGACTAACTTACTAACTTACTGACTAACTGACTAATTAACTAACTAACTAACTGACTGACTAAATGACTAACTGACTGACTAACTAACTAACTGACTGACTGACTAACCCACCCGTCCGTCCTTGGTCTCCACAGTGGACTTGTCTCCATTCACTTCTTTCAGCTCCACTTCAATATACGCTTCAGTCTCGTCAGGCATCCAAACACGCTTCGTACCTGAGAAAAGAGAATCACACATATTTTTATTTCTACACACAAACAAACACACAAGCTTTGCACCACAGGACCCGGTGAATTTATAGAACTGTGTTCTTACCATCGAAGGCCTGGGCCATCGCCGCCAGCTGCTCCAGGTTGGTGAGACGAATGAAGCGAGCAGCTTCTCCAAACTCGGCCAAATCCAGGAACCGAGACATCTGAGCACAGAACCAAGGATTGTTTACGTTTCTCCGAACCTCAGGAACCTTTCAACCTCACTGCGACGTCACGTGACCTCGTGTGCTTTTGCATAGTTTACACCTAGTAGCTCGTCTGACACGTCCCCTAATTAAGACAGGTGAGGTGAGGACGATGTTTGACCGATCACAGCCGAGTGTGAAGATGGACAATCCAAACTGTATCGTTCACTTCTTAAACTAAGACCTAGTGGATTCATCCACACTTGCTGCTGTAGTATTTGTCCACAGTAGTATTTGTCCACAGCAGTATTTGTCCACAGTAGTATTTGTCCACAGTAGTATTTGTCCACAGTAGTATTTGAGTATTTGTCCGTGAATTGATGAGTTTTGACAGTTTTGGAAACAAAGGATCAGATTCATCAGTTTGATTCAGTATAGAAATTGTCAGTTTGGGATAAAAACTACAACCGTCACCAGAATTATTATTGAAAAACGTCAAATGACTGTTTGTCTCTTTCAGTGAAAATCTTTATTTAGCTTCTGTGTGAAGACGAACGAGCTCTAAACTATGATGTCAACAAACTGGCACGGCAGCAGTTTTCACATTTACCTCCACACATTACTCAGGATTTCAGAGCAGCTGCCGCAGCAGACTCTCCCTGTATTATTGTCTTTTCATGCCTGAGCCCGCGCTCCGCCACACACACACACGCACACACACACACACA